TGCGACTGGACTTGTAACGCATCCAATGCCCTTTCTTGTCCCGGTGCAGGTTGCGGTTGCGGTATGAAGGTGACGGAACCACGTTGAGGCTCGTACGGCGCAAAGGTAGGCTGCTGCTGTTGTTGTTGAATCCCGCGTGCGTAGGATGAGCCGTCGAGGCTCATCGGAGTAACGTTGTTGTTGTTGCTGTTGTATGACTGCGCAGGCACTCCTTGCTGATGTTGCTCGTAGAAGGACATGAAGGAGAAAAATTTCTCCATCATGTTTGGATCGAAGCCTGCGGGTGTTTCCGTGGATCCAGCTGCTGGTCTTGTGGTAGTACCTTCCTCTGTCTGTAGGCCAGAGACAGGAGGTGGTGTAGGAGTAGTGCCTGGAGAGCCGTTGGAGGAGCTCCTCTCCTTCCTTGCAGACATGTCTTCTTTCTTTGTATTTAAGTATTAAGAGAGAAAATAAACTTACTGCTCTCATACCATGTTGGGCTGAGAAGCCTTAGGATCTTTGTAGAGCTTAAGGTCCGAGTAGGATTGTAATAGCGGAAGCGTTGAATAAAGAAGTGATTGAACCACCTTGCGCTGGTATGTGAGGGCAAAGTGAGTTGAATTAAACAAGCAGATACAAGGTTTATATAATAGTACAAGGAATACGAATAGATGGATTTAAACCGTTTTACTGTTGCGATTCGATACAGTGCGACTCGGGCAACTGCTCAATGTCGAGTCAGTTGTGTGTCCTTGCTGTCGCGCTGTAATTGTCGAGTCAAAGGTCGCTGACCTTTGACTTTCCCGTAACCTCCTGGCGGTTACCCTAACCTCCGAGGGTTGACTCGCGATGCTTCGTCTTGGACTGCTTCGTTAGTGTCCTGAGTTTCGACACGACAGAGGCGCTTAAGACTTGTTCCCAACAAATTTCAGGCCAAAATATGATGTAAACATTTTCAGGGCAAACTCATGAAAGCTCCCTAAGCGCTGAGCTCGGGTGAACATTATAGAGAAAGATTTTGTTATAACACCTGAGGAATTACCTTAAGTACAGTAATCCAACTTGGCTAACAGCAGTTTGTCTTTTTGCTGATGCATCCACAAACAAGGAAATTTCATTACTGTTTATCTGTTACACATCTAACGTTAAGGGACATTGTGATTATTTGCTGTTACAGGTTAAAAGGAACACACAAATCAACCATACTCTAATTGCACCATACATAACAACACACTGCTATGGAAGGACGAGCAATGACCTTATGGGTCAGTCGGTTCAGTATCTCTAAATAGAGGCACACCTGCACACAGTCCTGTTAGTTATCCAAACTCTTGTTTCTAGCTGTCTAACGGAATCACAACTGTGCAGCATGTCAGTGGGCAACCATTCACCAAAGCCAGTTTCACTCACTTAGCCTTGTCCGGCGTTGCCCCTGCCTGCGCCTTCTTCTTCTTCTTCGCTTGCTTGCCTGAGCTGCCTGCCTTCGCCTCACCGCCCGGAGTGCCAGCAGCAGGAGTGCGGGCAGGAGTACCCGCAGGAGAACGGGCAGCAGCGGGAGAAGCAGCAGCGGCAGCAGCAGAGGCCCCTGGCGCGGTAGCAGGCGAAGCAGCCACGTGCTCGTCACCCTGCTTCCTCTTGCGCCTCTTCCCCGCGCTGCTGCCGCCACCCGCGCTGCTGCCGCCACCCGCGGGGCCGTCGTCCTCCGCCACCTTATCCTTCCCCTTGCCCGACTTCTTCCCCGTCGCTTCCTCCTCTCCACGCCCCTTGCCCTTGCTCTTATCCTTCTTCTCATCCTTTTTCTTCGCCTCTTTCGCCTTTTCCTCCTCCTCCTTCTCCTTCTCCTTCTCCTTCTTCTCCTTCTTCTTCTCCTTCTCCTTCTCCTTCTCCTTCTCCTTCTCCTCCTTCTCCTCCTCCTCCTTCTCCTCCTTCTCCTCCTTCTCCTCCTTCTCCTCCCCATCCTCCATCACCGCATCGCCCAGCTGAGTCGGCACCTCCTCAACTTCCTCACCTTCCTCCCTTTCCTCGCCTTCCTCGCGCTCCTCGCCTTCCTCGCGCTCCTCGTGATCCTCACCCTGCTTCTTCCCCTTGCCCTTTTTCTTCCCCTGCCCGTTCGCCTCGCGCATCTCGTTCCACCGCCGCCTCGCCATCTGGTACGCCTCGCCGGGGGTGGAGGCGGCGCCCTGCGCGAGGAGGCGGTCGCGCTCTTCGGAGAGGAACTGCGTCATCGCCATCTGCACGGCGGACAGCGGCCGCTTCTCCTTCTTCGCCTTCTCCTCCTTCCCGCCGCTCGGCCCCGCAACCGCTTTCGCAGCAGCACCAGTCGCGGTAGTTGCGGCGGGCGGTCCGGCCCCGGGGAGCGAAGAGGCGGCGGCAGCAACTGCGAGAGCTGCGGCCTTGAAGTGAAGCGGGTCGAAGCTGGGATAGGCGGCGAAGGTGTTGAACAGCGGACTGATCGCCGATATGGCCACCCCGTCTGCCACAAGGTGCACGAGAGATACGTGACGAGGGGAAAGATGTACGAGGCTTGACAATGTGCGACGCGGAAAACAATGCAGCTCCGGCGGCAATGCGGGTGAAACCATGCAGAAGAAAACGAGGGGCACGCGGAGTGCACGAAAGAGACGAATAAGATCGCATGTGGCTAAGCACGCTCAAGTGCAGAACGAACGGCCGTGAGGCAAATGCAGGCGACGTAGCACTAACCGGCGGCGAGGCGGCAGAGCGCGGAGATCTCGCCGGCCACCACCTGCATGGCCGTCGACGCGTTCGCCACCTGCAGGAAGAAATGCCGGTTCGGCACTTCCCGCCGCTCGCCACTACCGCCCGGTTGACTGGCCTTGCCGCCTGCCTGCGCGTTGTTCTGCCCGTCCATGGCTCAGTTGACCAGCAACAAAAGCGCACAGATATCTTAGAAAATATCGGGGCTACAAGATCTGAGAGAAAATGGAAAGAGATCTGAGGGGGAGTCGAAATTTGAATTGGGTGGAGAGCGTGAGACGGGGTGAAGGCGGAAGGGGGAGGCGCGGTCGGGAGAGCACGACGGAGGAAGGAGGCGACGGGGGTTTAGGGTCCGACGCACGGCGAGAGATGCAGCAGAGCGCGCACAGAACGGGAGAGAAGCGCACGTCGAGCGCGTAAGCTCTGTAATTGGAGCATGTTTTCGTGCATTTCTACATTATGTTTATACGGTAATAGCCATTCAGCTGAAGGTTGTAAAAGTATAGCAGCATAATCAAATAAACCAATGAAGACGTCGTATTTTGTGTCTGGATATATTCCGTAAAGAATAACTTTAATAAATGCACATTGAGCTGATTGACAATGTTCTGAAGTGTTATGCAATGTGTTATAATCTTCTGCTTAGCCACTTACTACTTCACCAGTTCATGTATTTGTAACGAGTCGCGCGACTGGCGCGGGCTGGTACTCATCGGTGCGCCTCGGTGTGGTACGGTGCACCTGGTTTGCAACATCTGCACCAAAATCGTCTCATCAGCATTGCGCTTCGCCCTTCGGCTTTCGAAAATTTGAAATTTAGCTCTTCCCACAAGAGCCGAAGCCAGCACAAAACCAGTTTTCCCTTTGTTCACACACCTGTTTCGTTTATTTGGTTTGAACTGCTGCCGCTCGCGTCGAGCACTCTCTAGCGCAGTGCATGGTCTCACTCAACATCTTGGGCACTCCCAGGGAGTGACAGCGTTTGTACTCTTCTATTTATTCGGCCCTCGCCCCAGCCTTCGATCGTCGCACTCACGATCGTCGTTCATCGACGAAAAGGCAAGTGGGCGACGAAGCCAGGAGAGCGAAAATGGGTGCGACGGAGGCAGAAAGGCCGGGGTGCTTTTTTAATCTATGAATGACTTCGGACTGCCATCTATTGCGGCGCTGTCGCTTTCTTTTCTAGCATTGTGTCACCCTCTGTCTATCGCCCTCATGTGTGCTGCCAGACGCATCGGTGATTGGCGCTCAGCTCGTCGCCGGCTTCATCCACTGCCATGGCTGGGCGCCACTCTGAGGTAGGTTGAGGCCGCGTGTAGTTTACGCAACGACATTCTGAGAGCTCAAGGTGCTCCCATTCCTGTGGAGCTCAAGGTGCTCTCCTTCCTGTGGAGCTCAAGGTGCTCTCCTTCCTGTGGAGCCGCGCCGATGTGAGAATGGTTCGTCGCTCGTGGCCCAATGCAATGCCGCCTTGCATGCCCCAATGCCGCCATGCATGCCCCAATGCCGCCTTGCATGCCCCAATGCCGCCTTGCATGCCCCAATGCCGCCTTGCATGCCCCAATGCCGCCATGCATGCCCCAATGCCGCCATGCATGCCCCAATGCCGCCTTGCATGCCCCAATGCCGCCTTGCATGCCCCAATGCCGCCTTGCATGCCCCAATGCCGCCTTGCATGCCCCAATGCCGCCATGCATGCCCCAATGCCCCCTTGCATGCCCCAATGCCGCCATGCATGCCCCAATGCCGCCTTGCATGCCCCAATGCCGCCATGCATGCCCCAATGCCGCCTTGCATGCCCCAATGCCGCCATGCATGCCCCAATGCCGCCATGCATGCCCCAATGCCGCCATGCATGCCCCAATGCCCCCTTGGATGCCCCAATGCCGCCTTGCATGCCCCAATGCCGCCATGCATGCCCCAATGCCGCCTTGCATGCCCCAATGCCGCCTTGCATGCCCCAATGCCGCCTTGCATGCCCCAATGCCGCCTTGCATGCCCCAATGCCGCCATGCATGCCCCAATGCCCCCTTGCATGCCCCAATGCCGCCATGCATGCCCCAATGCCGCCTTGCATGCCCCAATGCCGCCATGCATGCCCCAATGCCGCCTTGCATGCCCCAATGCCGCCTTGCATGCCCCAATGCCGCCATGCATGCCCCAATGCCGCCTTGCATGCCCCAATGCCGCCTTGCATGCCCCAATGCCGCCTTGCATGCCCCAATGCCGCCTTGCATGCCCCAATGCCGCCATGCATGCCCCAATGCCGCCATGCATGCCCCAATGCTGCCTTGCATGACCCA